AAGCTTGATTATCTTAATGAAGCGCAATAGTGGAATTTATGAATTTACATTTTATTCCAAAATGTTAGTACTGAGAACCTTAATAAGCGGCATTCTGCGTTAAGTTTAGCCAAGTTTGCAAACTACTGAGAACCGATGTTGGTAACTTATTAAAATTATTTACTGTGGAAAAAGAAAAGAGGACTTATGATGTTTATACACACGGCAACAAATTTTAAAGAAATTCTGTATTTACACATCACATAGTCCAGACCCTTACATATTCAATGGTAATCACAAAAAATATATTAACACAGAGTCTGAATGTTGTGGGATGTAAAGGGCATATGGTGAGAACTCATTTCTGTAGCGATAAGCTTAAAATGTGGCATACGAATATTTTGAACCACTTGGGTAACCTAGGGTCTTTTCCATGTTAGCGAGTACATCTAAAAATTTGCGCAAACTTCATAAAAAATTTAGTCTACATTCATTCAAGTTTTGCAACCCCTACTTTTTTGTTCGTTTCAATTTCGCAGAAAAAAAATAAACACCATTGCTACCCTTCAAGGATTTGAAAGCTTACACCATACTACACATATCGTATTTATTATCGGTAGAGTTGGATTTGTCATTTTAGAGTTTTAATGATCGATAAACCTTTCACCGACAACCTGATAATTGATAACTCATAAATTTTTCCTTCTTTCCTTTTGTGTGTGCCCCTTTGTCCAGTTCCGCTCACATAAAGAAACTTTATTCATTTATATACAATTGTTCAGTTACATATAACCAACAATTATCGTTTTATCAAAAAAATTACATTCACTTATCAGGTATATACAAGAGAAGATCGTCTGCTAATATTAGCTTATCTAACAAGTGAGATAATGTACGACGAAGAGTGGCAGCATACAAAATGCGATACTGGCCAGTGTTCCTTGGACTCTGAAAAACGGATCTGGTGATCATTTTTAAATCGCGAGAAAAAATGCATTTTTACCCATTGTCAATGGCATTTGCTCCATCACGCATTGTGTTACTAACGGAATCTCGCGCCTGTCCAATCTGAAAGAAATGAATTTTTCGGTAGACGTAAATCATTTTATAATTCCGATACCTTCTCTCCAGCGGCGTTTGTAACGTCGTGATATCGCTCACGAGTCGCATCGGCGGCATCGTCAGCAGTGTGCGCTACCTGAAAACCAAACCCCGCTAGAATTTATGTGATACGGAAGAGTGTAAAGAAGAACCTACTGAATCCCATCCTGCTTTGGCACCACCCTTAACAGCTTCCACAGTTCCGCCGACTTTAG